AAGCACTAGTTTCTGTATTATCCTGTTTCGGCAGAAGGCTGTAGCCTTCAGCAAGTGAGAAGCGTGTGACTGAATCACGGGCTGGACTGGAATGTCTTTAAATATTCTAGAAGGGAAACTGCTGTATTTCTGCCACCTTAAAAAAAATCTGTACATTATATATCTTAAGAAAAAGAAGGCAGATTCTTTTAAACCCTTTGCCTATGAAACTAGGCAAAAAGTGAGATGTATCCAGCTCTCTATGCTTGGGGTGATAGCATAGGCTTGCTTAACAGATTTGTTACAGCTTTCTGATGTGTAAGATTCCTAGCAGACAGACTATTTAAAGAGATTGATTGTAGAGCTTGAAATGATCTCTGAAAAGTGATTTTTGTTTGGTCTTTCCTTTCTATTCCTTCCAGTATTTCATGGCTGATGGCAACTAGAACTTTAAAAACTCTTTGTTGGGTGATACAGAGGTGGGCAACCTCCTTTTGAGAAGTAGAATCTTCCTTTCTCATGGTAATAAACTTGTTCTTCATTAAAAGGTACTTACAACTTTGTGAGTATCATAGTGTGGTAGGAAAGAGACTTTTTTTTTTTGTTGGTTTCCTTTTCCTTTTCCTTTTTTTTATTTGCACTGTTGAATACTTACTGGGCTATTTCTCAATTTGGTGGCATAGGTAGTCGTCAACATATGACTACAATTGAGCCCAAAATTAATGTTCCTAAGTGAGACATTTGTTAAGTTTTGCTCCATTAGGTCCCAGTTGTTAAGTGAATCATTGCAGTTATTAAGTTAGTAACATGGTTGTTAAGTGAATCTGGCTTCCCCATTGACTTTGCTTATTAGAAGGTCGCAAAAGGTGAGCCTTGGACACTGCAACCATCATAATTGTGAACCAGTTGCCGTGCATCCAAATTTTGATCATGTAACCAAGGGGATACTGCAGTTGTCATAAGTATGAAAAATGGTCAAAAGTCACTTTTTTCAGCACCACTATAACTTTTAACGGTCACTAAACAAACTGTTGTAAATTGAGGACTACCTGTATTTCTGTGTAATGTAATCTGTGTTAATTCTTCCTTGATTTGGCTTTTTCTTCCTTTGTAGCGATATCTAATTTTCACCTGTAATGCCAAGAACCTTTTCACCAGAAAAAGGCAGTCAGTATTTTCATATGGGATAGACAAAAGAAATTAAATTGCAAGATGGGTGGCCAAGTTTCCTTATTGTGTCAAAATTCATGAATGCCAAGTCAGGAGCTATGGAGTGTGTTTCTGCCATGATTGATGGTAGAGCTTGTCTCTTCAGAAGCAGGTCTGGCCAATGCTTTCTCCAGTTCTTGTTCTTATAAAAGTCTTCCAATATATATTACTACCAACAATTCAGAGCTAGTCAGCTTTTTTATTAGATATGTTGTTATTACAGTACACACCTTTGTCGTTCTCCTCCAGCTCAGACCTAGAAATTGAAGAAAGACGTTTGTAGTGATCTTTTGTTCATATTCAGTGACAGAACCAAAAATAGTCTATATACCTATGGAAGGTATAGATTTTATTACTTAGTAAAGCCTGCTTGTATCATACAAATACTGTAGTTGTTTATATTTTCCCTTATTATAAACTTTAATTTTAAGTTATTCTGTTATTTGATTTTCTATTAAATATTCCATTTTTAGCATCATTGAATTTGTCATTGAATTTCAATTTATTTCTTTTCCTTCCAGTATGCTCTCCTTTTAATAATTTGCTCACAATCATAAAACATATATACATTAATGCTGCAGAGTCCTATAGAAAATGAAATGTGGACTGCAGGAGTATTTTTCAAAAATGTTCATTGTGTTGTACATTATCTTTGAAAAACAAAAGCATTTTATTTTAAGTAGACAGCTGTTAAAATAGATAAGACAGAAAGAGATTACATTCGTCTTTATAAGGGCTGTTAATGATATTTTGGGTACTGGGACTATGAAATGGATCATAAAGAATAAAATATTGTAAAATAATTGCTACAATATATGGATGTGCTTTATAGCAGAGGTCTCCAAGCTTGGCCACTTTAAGACTTGTGAACTTCAACTCCCAGAATTCCCCAGCCAACATGTTGGTGGGGAATTCTGGGAGTTGAAGTCCACAAGTCTTAAAGTGGCCAAGCTTGGAGACCCCTGCTTTATAGAGTATTATGAACATGCAGTGGATGGAAATGTGTGATCTTAGGTTATGTCAATATTACTTCATTTCTTAATCATACATAGAGAAATATAGTTTTCTGGATCAACACTTCTGTAGTTTGATGCTGGCTTTTTCACCAAATATGTTTAACATTAACTACCATTTAGTTGAACTGATGTAATATGATAAACTGGGATTAATCTGAAATAGAAACAAAAGCTATCATCTTTTCTTTGTGGCTACACAAGAGAAAAGAAATGAGCAACTTAACCTTCTTATGACAATGTTTAGCATTATGTAACAACACTAACATTTGAGTCAAAATGCACAGATGTGCTACAGATTTAACTGAATTTTCCTGATGTTCATATTTTGATTCCTGTCTTGAATTCTTAGGCATGCTACAGGCAAACAATTTGCAATAATAAAAAAAAAAAACCGTGTGTCCTTGGCATATTCTGATTCACCAAAATTAAATAGATGTTACAAGATTCTTCAGTAACAGTAACAGAGTTGGAAGGGACCTTGGAGGTCATCTAGTCCAACCCCCTGCTCATGCAGGAGACCTGTACTAGGGATTCGAACCGCCGAACTGCCGACCTTTCTGATCGACAAGCTCAGTGTCTTCAGTAAGACATACTGCATATATCTGTTATTATAATACTTATCTTTTAAAGTGATTTTTTATATATTTTATATTGTTGTTTTCCTATGTGATTTTATCTGTTTGTGGCATCACCCAGAGTTGCCTTTGGTGAGATGGGTGGCTATATCAATTTGATTAATAAATAAATAAATTTTGTGCAGACAGCAGTATTTTTCATGATTTTATTTCAGTGTTTCAGCAGAAAGTCAAAACTAAAAAGCTTTGCCATTTGTTTTGAGCTGTCAGGGTTATTTAATAGCACCTCCGCTGCTTTGGGAATTTGTGTGAAATACACATATACATGTGTATTGTTGAAGGTTAATTGTTCCATGTATATCTTTCTCCTGGTTCATACTCTGATATACATTATAAGCACTACAAAGAATCCCTGGGAATAGCAAAAGTGCCTTGTTCAGGTTTATTGCTTTGGAGAATTTATATGACTTTGTTTCCATTTCATAGTCTGTCAAAAGCTTCAAGTCTGCTGAGTTGCTAGTTTTATCTGCAGCCACCTTTTGTAATGCCTTTCCTCAGTGGCATGCTGGGTTGTAAATGAATACATAAAAATCAATGATGTCAAGGAAAAGAACTGCTAAAGAGTGGTTCTTGTATCTTTAACTTTATACGGCTTCTTACAGTGTTTTATTAACTGGCAATTGAATGTAATTTTTGGTTTTGCTTTAGAATAGCAATACAGCAGCTTAAAAAACAAATGCATAGAAAACTGGTTTTCAAGGATAGAAAATATGGAAATCTATAATGAATAGCATTGGCATATATTAGATTTAGTTACATTTTCTTTCGTCTCCGAGCTTTAATTTCTTTTGCTCATGACATCTCAGTCTTAATGCTTTGCATAACACTACATGGTTCAAAGAATAACTTAATAGCTATATTTCTGTGCAGAATTACTTTTTGCTTTATATGCTGCCTGGGTTAGTTATTCAGCAAGACAATGCTGACTTTATAATGCCCAGAGTACACGTAGTTTATAATCTTAAACTTTTTCCCCTTCTGATGAAAAAAATGGACTCTGAAGATGTTTTTAAAAACACAAAGAAAATATTGAAAATATTGAAGAGAAATCAAAATTCAAAACACCCTTCTACTGGCTGTTTTGAATTTTGATTTCTCTTCAATATTTTCAATAGTTTCTTTGTGTTTTTAAAAATATCTTCCGAATCCATTTTCAAGGCTGTGTTAGACCAGAGGAAAATGTAATTGTACAGGTAGTCCTTGCTCAACATCCATTCATTCAGCAGTCATTTGAAGTTACAGCAGCAGAGAAAAATGAACCACTCCTCAAATTTATAACCATACAGTGCCCTCATGGTCACATGATAAAAATGTGAGGGGGGGCACCAGTGCATTGACAATTGGTCCCTGCTGCCGCCACCACTACAACTGCCCCTAGCTGACCTTTCTCTTGTGCCTGTCCTCAGTTCCATTGTCATGTTCTTGCTGTGGTGTACAGCTTTTTGATGCCATCCCCAGTGGACCTTCCTCCTCTGCAGGATAGATAGAGAAGCCATTTTATGAGTTTCTGTCTTTTTATTCATGGGCTGTAAGAGATTATTGGCCCTTGGTTGCAAATAAAAGAATACTTCCGCGCAATTCTATCTGGCTGTGCCTTTATCAAATCTGGAAGGAAATTCCACAACAGTTACAGTAGACCCCAGGCTGGTTGACAAATAAGGGCATAACCAACCAATGGAGAAACTTTATGGAAATTATGAAATAAAACAAACAGAAGATCAAGTGCTGTTTGCAAAAGCAGATATTTGAATAATTGAAACAATTATGGGGATAGCACAGAAACCAACTTGTCATTTTAATATTAATTCCATTGGTTTATACTGCTGTGTGACGGGTGCTTGGATGGGGTTTTTTTTCTTTTCACTGACGTTTTATTTCAGCAAAAAGGAAACGAAATACCGAGCTATATCCCAGGGCAAAAGAACAATCAACCTGGCAAGTCCAAAGCCCCCGAGGTAGAAAGTCTTTTGTCAGTTTGTGGGGCCAAAGGGAATGTCTCAGCCTAAACAGAGTCCAATCAATATCTCTGTATTTTTTTTATAAGCACTTCATTATGAGGCAAACAAATGGCAGAGAATAGTATTCATTTGGTATTTATTCTTTGTCTGCTTTTCATGAAAAGAGACCAATCAAATGGCCTGTGGTTTTTATGTCTTTCCAGCCCACCCCAACACAGGATTCATCAGAACCAGCAGACAAGGAACTCGTAAGGGCACCATGTGCACAGAAGTATGGGTCAGACCCCCTATCGACTCCAGAGAAGCAAAGCACAATCTTTCAAAGGAAAGAAAAAAATAACAAAAAAGTTGGTCCAAAAATCTCCAGCTTATCAATTGAAAGCTCAGATTCCAGCATTTCAGGCCTACAAAAATTACATTCTAGAGTTTCCTGCAGTTCTTCTGACACTACAGCAAGCAAGCATTCTTCAAAAGCCCAAACTCCCGACTCCAGAGCATGCAGTGGGGATCTCCTGGATAAGCATTCCCAACATTTTACCAATGGTCAGCAGCCGTTCACTCCAAGGACTTTAAAGTCGGACGCAAAATCCTTTCTTTCACAGTACAGATATTACACCCCAGCGAGACGGAAAGTAAGGGAGAATCTAAGGCAACAGATAGAAGCAGAAACACAAACTGAAATAAGCAGGTGAAGAACTTTCTTAAGGAAGTCGTATTATAGGCATTGCACGAACCTCCTCTGTGGTGCATTGAATTGCTGCTTCATGTTCATATTTAACAATGGAAAGCTTAACTTAATGGGTGGGCAGTAACGTGTGTGTGTGTGTGTGTGTGTGTGTGTGTGTGTGTAACATCGCTAAGTAGTAGATGGATGAAAAATGTCCTATAGTAGTACATCAAGACACTTCATCCTGTGACTATTACCACAGTATAAACATGTGGTAAAATTAAAAATGAGGCAACAAACAATTAACAAAGATCTCATATTTGCTTCATTTCATTCTTCTCTTTTTAAAAAAACACCCCTTTCGAATGACATAAGTCCACCTTCATGGAAAATTATATTTCCAAAGAGCCATTGTAGGTATTAGGAGCCCATGTGTCTGCTCATCACCTGTATTTTAGTTATTGTGCACAGCTTGTTGGTGTATTTACATTTGCAGAGATGTCCCATTGTCATATTGTAGATTCATATCTATATGAATAATTTGATCCTGCTTAATTTTATTTTTCATAGAATATGCAGGGGTGATTGGGCTGGATGCTAAAATCTACAAATGGAAAAGCTTCCTCCATTTGCAAATGGAATCATGATTTCCATTGGGAATTTTCTGTAGGATGATGGCATCACCTCCAGGACTTATTCAGAGGATTCCCCAAAACTCTGGAATAGCAAGGGAAATGACATAGGAAAAGAGGAATTAATAATTAGGAGAAAATAGTTGTTCCATGCCCTCCAGCAAGTCTGTATCCAAGCATATTTATGAACTTTTTTATATTGCTTAATAAGGTTCTACCAGATTTATCTATTTTCTGACGTGGAAATACAGCTACGGTAGTAAGTTTTATTCCAGAGTAGTAAGCAGAAATTACTTGGCTCTGGCAAAAGGGGTTGGAGTGTTCATAATAAAAGAAACAGGATAATAAACTGAGACACAGATAATGTAATCTAATCAAAATCACTTTTGAATTTATGTTTAAAAGACATTTGAACCAAGCTCCTGAAAAATCAAGGCCAATATTGTTAGGACTGCCCTGATTCTTGTCTTGAAAGTCAGATTTACAATTTTAATTGCAAGTAGTATATTTCAATTTGAATTTATTAGTATATGTACAGCTAAAGTTCAACAAAAAATTGGATTTGATACTAGAAGCTCCAACAGGAAGGTATCTATATTTTGTGTTGTGTACAGTATAGTGCCATAAATATTAACAGAATTATATTCATTAATACATGTAATTTAGGTGCCAAACACAGATCTCCCATATATTTTACTTCATTTCCATTTATATTAATAGAGGATATTAAAAGGCAGCACGGTTGCAAGACAGTAAGCATCTTATTCAAAGATATAAATAATACAGAATAGATGTCTTCTGCCTTAATTAAATCTCCTCCGAATATAATACTTATTTTTCTCATGCTAAAGGTTTATTAAGTGTTAACAATTCACTGTCTTCTTTAGAACTGGGATTCTATAGCAAATTAAGAGTCCCTTCATCACTGTATTTAATGCCAAGCAAGGAAATGATTGTGGCATGATTAGAAGACTTAGGCCTTTTGGGAATACTCTTAATTCAGAGGTGCCATAGTTATTCTATAGATATTATTAATATTCCACATCTTTTATATCTTTATCGCGGTTTCTTTATTAAAAAAGATTTATACAAGCAGATGGATTATCAGTTCCTTGTATAGTTTTCCTTCCCGTGGGCCATTTGTCTGCCACCTCATGAATAGCCACAAACAATGGGTATAGCATCTATAAGCATTAACACTCTGATCATCATTTTTTGAACCCAGATAGTAATATGCTCTGCCCCATAGATACTCAAAATAGTATATGAAGTATTGTTTCTGCAAAAATGACATAAGATCATTGTATTTTGTAGTTTTCAAGCCGAGCCTGAAGCAGCTGAAAAAAAGAATTTGCCTAGTTTTCAGACAATCACGAAGGAGGTAATTCAAATGATCTGTTTGTGTTTGTTTCTGCTCTATTCACCAGGCCATTCATAAAAAGAAGTCTGTTGCTCTGGGTAATTGGTTACATTCAGTGGTGAAATCCAATTTTTTTTACTACCGGTTCTGTGGGCGTGGCTTGGTGGGTGTGGTGTGGTGTGGCTTGGTGGGCATGGGTTGGTGGGTGTGGCAGGGGAAGGATACTGCAAAATCTCCATTGCCACCCCACTCCAGGGGAAAGATACTGCAAAATCCCCATTCCCTCCCTACTCCCGGGGGAAGGATATTGCAAAATCTCCATTCCCACCCCACTCTGGGGCCATCCAGAGGTGGTATTTGCTGGTTCTCCGAACTACTCAAAATTTCTGCTACTGATTCTCCCGAACCTGTCAGAACCTGCTGGATTTCACCCCTGGTTACATTCCATATTGAAAGTGGTTGCCCTGACCTACTAAAAGGTCTCATTTGTGGCTTGGATGTTTTTTTGGATTTGATGTTTTCTCTAGAAACACAATGGATGCTCTAGCAGAAGTGCCTTTTATTTCACTTTGGTTTGGTACATTAGTTTCAACCTTATTAAGATAAATTAATGTCATGCCTTTTCCTTTGCTAATTATTACAATGGAATTATATAACTAGAACCATAACTAGAACACTTCAATTGATGAAGAATGAGGCCACTTCAATTGTGGCAAAAGGATAAATCATTATACCCTCATAGTTTAACTTATTGTCCTTGGGTTTCCAGCTTAGTTCAGAGTGTTGTTTCTAATCTTTTAAATATTTAATAATCTGCCTATATGTTTATGTTTATCATTAGGATGTTGCTTGCTGGCTTTCTGTTAGGATTTATAGAATTTGCTGACTGTGTAACTAGGTCTTCTCAGCAGTGTTCCAGCAAGATTACATTTATCCAATTCTATTTTAATGAAAACATTTTAATGCACTTTTAGTTTAATAATATAGTAGTAATAGCCATGTTTACATTACTATTTTATATTCTTTTTTTTAATTTCCTGCATTTTTGTCTAAAAAAAGGTTTGCATAACAAGCTGGTCACCATGTTAAAAACAAATAGATGTGTTAAATTGAATTCCATTCATTGGTGACTTAACCTTCATGAAAGTGTGGCCAAAAGGTAGTGGATTGCATAGCAATAGATCAGAATTGTTTGGTGGTTTGGATGGCTGGAACAGCCAGTAATAGTTTCAACACCACCCATCCACCCACCCCACCCAACTAGAGGTTCTCCCATTACTCACAGGCATTCAAATTTCCTCTCACATTCTGGTCTGAAAGGTGCTTTTCAAAAGGCAACTGGACTTCCTTTGTTTTCTTGAAGGTGTTTTGCTTCTCATCCAAGATGTTTCTTCAGTACTGATTGAATGGTGGGGAATGGAATATATACTCCTTGGAGTTATCTGGTTGTTAGCACTCTGTAGGTCAGTCTTTAGCTCTCTGAGAGTTGTTGAGGCAACTTGGGGGTTTATCTGTACCCTTGGGTCACCTGAATTAGAGTGCAAATGAGTATGGAATGGGTTCTTGGAACTGCTGATATGTTCTCCTATCCATCAGGACAAGATTCAGCAGTCCATTGCATTTGAAAGACAAAGGTCACACTTTTGAAGACAGCAAAGTTCACATTCTGAACAGAGAGGACCATTGGTTTGAAAGAGGAGTTAAAGAGGCCATCTATGTTAAAACTGAGCAGCCCTCTCTCAACAGAGGGGGAAGGATATGATATCCCCTGTCTACATTATAGTCTTTTCAGTAGTTCCTAAAAGGTTAACAAATGGCTTGAGAAATGTCTTGCTTAACAACAGAAAAATTGGGCTCAAGTCGAGGACTACCTGTACAAATGAATTTTGTATCAATAACAGAGATGTGTTCTTTACAGGTAGAAGATCCCAGGTTTTCTAATGAGCAGAAGTCTGATGAAATGAAAACTATTTCTCGGTTATCCTCTCCAAGGTAAGCAGTATTTGGATCTTTTTCCTTTTTTTTTTTAACACACCCTGTGACTTTCCAGAAGTCCAGAATGATGAATTTTGTGAGGTTTAGAACTGTATGAAGTTCTCTAAGTACAAATACGCATTTTTCCCTTCAAACAAAATTTCAGAAGCAGAGCAAATAAAGTAAAGATCTAATGTGAAAGATGAAATATTTGTCTGAACCACAATATTTATTTTGATTATTGATTTGATTTGATCTCTGTGGTGGCACCTACCCTCTGGAACGATCTACCCCCAGAGATACGAGTGATTCCAGACCTCCGGACTTTTCGTTGGCCCCTAAAAACTTACTTTTTTCAGCTAGCCGGGCTGGCCTGATTCCATGTTGGTTTTAACGTTTGATACTGATTTTTAATTGATATGTTTTAAATTATGGGCCAAATTTCATTAATTAGTTTTAATAATTATTTTAACTTTTGTGTACAAATATTTTTATTTTGGCTGTTCACCGCCCTGAGTCCGAAAGGAGAAGGGCGGTATACAAATTTAATAAATAAAAAATAATAATTAATTAATTAATTAATAATGAATTAGTAAATTATGAGAATGTGATAAAATCTTTCTTGGATGTAATTGGATGATTACAGGTGTTTACTTCAGGTGAAAGATGGGTAAATATATTTGTTTAAAGCCAAAATTCAGAATAATGCCACCTCAGGCTGAGACAAAGACGGCAGATTGCAGCACTGATTGCTAGGAAGACACTGGGCCCAATTCAGAATGCTGGTTATCATCTTTAAAACCTATATACCATATGTAAAGCACAGAGATTCAGTAAGCACCAACTTGCCCATCCCCAACAAAATTCTAGAAAGGATGCTGAGAAATGCAGAGGGCAATGGAGAAAACAGCAAACCTTCTTAGTAGCAATCCACACAGTTTCGAAAACTTCTCCACTAGAGATACATTGACCCTACTATCTGTTTGCATGCAGTAAGAATACGCTGGAATGTTCTGTTATTTGCAGGGTTACTTTTTGTTGACTGTTTTATTTCTTACGTTTTGTGGCTTTATTGTTGTTTACTTGTTCATTGCCCAGAATCTATCCTATTGGGATAGAAGACAAAGATAAAATTGCAAGGGCAAAATGTTCCTCTCTCCTTTTTTAACAACTCATGAGAAAAAAATAAACATCTTCCTGCTCCTGATTGGTTGCCCAGGGTTTGAGTTTCCTGCAATTTACTTGTCTTTGCCCACTATGTAGATTGACAGATTTAAGTTTGATTAACAATTTATTTTATATTAAAATAAAATATATTATTTTCTCTCCCTCTTTCACACCACAGTGAGAGTTACTGGGTAATATCCATTTAATAATTCTAAAAGTGGTTACATAATTTTATTTACTCCCTCGCCTTCATTGGGGAATAAAATTCAAAAATAAGAATGATCACACTGTGCACTTTCATCCTTTAGACATAGCGATCAATTTGAGCATAGCCTTATATGAAACAATGTACATTTTCATAGTATTCTGCCTTCTGGGTCTGATTTGCACTGTTCCTTCCTCCTTATGGCTTAGAGCAATTTCTCCATGTTCTGTTGAGTCCCCAACCATGAGGAAAATCCAAGCTGAGTAAGTAACTCATTAATTTCTATGTTACATAAATGCAAAACATTAATGAAGTTGACATTTTAAGTGAGGTAATTACAATTGGACCCATGTACATCAGTTGCTAAATTGTTGCACAATGAAAAATTACCGGATTATTTTTATATCACTGATCCTGTTTCTTTCCTTCCCCTACCCCACCCCTTAATATCATTTTGACACATATAACCATATCGAACAATCTGATATAACCAGAACATTCACATGTTTAAGGACACAAGACACCACAACCTGGTTTGGTTAATGGATTTAAATCAAAATTACTTCCATTTCTTCTGCATTTCTTTTATTTACTTTCTAGCATTGGGGCCCAAAGCTACATTATGGAAAATCCATGAAATGCTATATGAAACAGTTCCCTTCCTATTTATATGAAAATGTCATGAGAATGCAAGGGAGGAAAGAAAGGGATATGTTGCTTATTTATGGGCTAAATAAGTAGGAAAACCTACAAGCAAGATACGAGAAATTGAGTCCTTGGTGTTCTCTGACCTTCATTGTTGTTTGCAGATGTTTCATTACCAGACTAGATAACATCTTCAGTACTAGAAGGGAATGGTGTTTGCTCCCTGATTATATATAAAATGGCTTTCTTTGTCAGTGTTAATGATGTTGTTTTGATAGCTCCTTGATTAAACTTGTTTACTGTTTGATTGTTGGGCTGGTATTAATACTGCTTATCCGGGCATTGATTGCTAGCAAGGAGATATTCTGGTCATATTTTTTCTGACTTGTCTGAATACCAAGCATTTAGCATTCTTTAATATTTTTTTGGATTTAGCTTGATCTAGGATGCTGTCCATTTCCCAATTGAAACTATGACTGAATCTATCCATGTGCTCTAAAATTAAGGAACTTATTTTGGCAAATATGCTCTGCTAGTCTTCTGCCTGTCTGTCATACTTAGTGGCAGTTACAGATCTTACACTTAATGTTGTTGAGAACAATATTACACTGAAACAAAAGGGATGCAACATAAACTTCATTGCATCTCATAGGTCGCTATGGGATCAATTATGACCTATGAGATAGATTGCTCATACACTTTTCCCCCAAACATTTTGTGTCCCAACTAAAAGATCAGTCTCCTAATCAATTCATGTAAAATCATTATCTGTTTTCCCAAACCTTTTCTATTCCCAGCAAATCTGAAGTTCAAAGTAAGCATTCTGTGGGGGGCCGGGGGCAGGGGGTGTTTCAAAAACATTAAAGCCAATTTAAGGAGAGAAGCAACTTAGAACAAAGGAGAAATTTCCTGACAGTTAGAACAATTAATCAGTGGAACAACTTGCCCCCAGAAGTTGTGAATGCTCCAACATTGGAAGATTTTAAGAAGATGTTGGATAACCATTTGTCTCAAGTGGTGTAGGGTTTCCTGCCTAAGCAGGGGGTTGGACAAAAGACTTTCAAGGTCCCTTCCAACTCTGTTATCCTATCCTATCCTATCCTATCCTATCCTATCCTATCCATTCCATTCCATTCCATTCCATTCCATTCTATTCTATTCTATTCTATTCTCTACTCTAGCAATCCATTAACTGAACAGACTGTCAGTTGTGCAGATTGTCAGATTTCCAGCTCTTACTGATGCAATGGAATATATGGCAGAGTTGTGTGTTGCTTAACACTCTTCATTCAAGCAACTTCTTTAACAACAATATTGTTTATATAAGAGGAAATTTATTGACATGTTAGCAGATTTGCTGATTGCTTATTTCTGTTAAATGTTTGTATATGTATTGCATTAGTTTGCTTTTTTTTAGATAACGCTTAAAATGAGTCGTGGTGGCACAGTGTTTAGAATGCATTATTGCAGGCTAGCTCACTGCCAGGAGTTCGATCCTGACAGGGCTCAAGGCTGACTCAGCCATCCATTTTTAATTAAAAAAAAAAGTAAATGCTGCTTAGCTTGACAACTAAATATAATAAAACTAATTCAAGACTTAGATCCTGCAATCCAGGTACAGGTAGTTCATTATGTATGTATACATAATGCAACAGGAAGATCCCCTGTATAAAAAGGTACAAATTTGTACTAGCAGACAGTGCTCATATATAGAGGACAAATCAGCAGTGGTAGGAAGTAGAATAAATTCACTCCTAAGAGAAGACTTTGAGGTGAAATAATCCACCAAACAAATTAGTTTGTCTTCATTTATTGATGTTAGTATTTATGATCCGAGATCATAAATGGGAATTGGTTGGTAGCAGCTAAAGTGCTTGTTCAGTGTTTTCATTTCGAGACTAAAAGTAGTTTTTATCTTTTCTGTTTAGAGAAGAAGAACTGAGGTATTTAAATTTTATTCAGGACATAACAGATGAAATTCTGAAGCTTGGGTTATTTTCCAACAGGTTGGATATATTTAAAGTTCCTACATTTTATTTTATTTTTTTGCAGTGAAGCATTGATCAATGGTAAATAAAGGAAGAACCAGAGATGGGTTTGTGGTGAGAAGTATGTAAAATTCTGAATAAATACAGTCCAGAGGGGGAAAAATATTTTACTGGTGACATGAATGGGTAGATGGGAATAAGATGAGACAGTGAACAAAAAGTGACCAGGCCATTCAGAGATCCAAGAATAAATGAGGGGTAACTAGCAACTGTCTAGTTGGGGAAAGTCTTTTGGTTTTGAAGGTGTGACTTAAGCACCAGTCTATTCATGTACATGTCCAGCAAAGAAATAAATGTAAGTCTAGAAGCATGGCTGGTTTGATGTTTTTGATGAAAGATTGGAAGACTCAATGAAAGATACAAGGTGATAAAAGGATCTGAAATCTGGGCAGGCCATTTGGTAGTTTCCAGAGTAGATTTGAGAAAATATGAACAGGAAAGATATGAAAGAAACTACACAGTGAAAGCAGGACAGCTGCAGCTGATGAACAGAAGACCAAAGATAAAAAAATTAAGTGGCAGAATTATTTTGCTTCTATTTTAAAGAAATAAGTTAACATCTTGGAGTTGATTATTCTTAATGATTTTCTTTTGAAAAAATTTTTTCCTGTGTAACACTTTTCCAATATTTTTGCTTTTTAAAGGGCTTTGGAAAGGTTGTTTGAACGTCACATAGAACTAAACAAGAACCATTTAAATAAGGTATGCTGCATAGATGAGAGATCATTTTAAGAGTACTAAAAATTATTTCTGAAAATGATCAATGTGTTTGCTGAAGAATATTTGTTTCTGATTTTCTAAATATATATTTTTGTATTTACAACCATTAGGCAGGATTCCTCATTTGTTAAAGTACCCTCTGAAAAAGCATTTAGTTAATTCATTTATTACTATCAATTGCCTGTTTGGTCCTTCCTCCCCATAAGTAAATACATGAAGCAGCCAGGGATAGTGGCTTGTGGCATCCAAACTATGTTTGCAAACCGAGACAACTGACCTTGAAAGATGGTTAGATCTGATCAGTGCTGATAGAAACAAACACTCAAGCACCTTACAGCTGTAGATTAGATTGGGAAGTCAAAACAAAAAACAAAAAAAAAACACCACAACTGGAGAAGGCGGCAAAATATGTGCACATTGTTGCAATGATAATTATACACCTCCAAGACTCATTTTTTGTCAGATGGATGGCTATATATATTTGACAAATAAATTAAATAAATAAATATTAACAGCATGGGTAAGTTCAAGTAGTCATCAGGAATCAAACTTGGTTCCAAGACTATATCTTGCCCAAGCAAACCAGAGTTAATAAACTGATAACTCTAATCCTGAATGGTTAGTGGAATAAGTCATCGTATCATGATTATATATGATAAGTATACTCTACTTTCATTTGTCACTTATACAAAGTGATAAATGTATGAATACGTTGCTCATTTAATAATAATATTTCTTGGATCAATGTCATGTGTATATGAAGCTTCCTGGACTTTCAGTTGCTGCTTGAAGAGCATGTGGCAGCTGTGGTCATGAGGACCTTTGCACAACCATCTGGTGTACCAGTTGTGCCCTTTCCTAGAATGGGGAGCGTTTCACACAGTCACTTATTACTACTCAGCTCATAGTCTGATTACTGCAACATGCTCTGCCTAGACTAGTCTCTACTTAAGACAACACGGAAACCTCAACTGGTAGGAATGCAGTGGCATGAGCAATGATGTTCATACTTAGGCATGCCCATAGAGGACTGGTTGATAGTTTGCTTCCAGATGCAGTTCAAGGTGCTGGTCATTATAAAGCCCTACATGGCATTCTGCCTTGAGGAAGTGCCTGTCTCCTATAGTACCTACCCAGTTGATTTGATTTTAGAGAGTTCTTTATTTGACACACACCAGCTTCTTCCAATTAAACAATGAGACTTATCAGAACCCTGGAAGTGCCCCTTCTTTGTAGCAGCATCTGATTTCTGGAATAAGGTTCCCCCCAAAGATCTAAATGGCCTCCACTCTTTTCTGGTTTAGAAAGCCTTAACTAGGACTCGACCAGAAGCGTCACGGCGAGACATTTGGGGATTAGCGGGCTCTCATGAGTCCCACGAAATCCCAGGCTGACCAACCGCTGCAGAGGGGTCTTTGGACCAGATCTGTCCTGCAGGGACAGAGAAGAAAGAGAGGCACCTTGGAAGACCAAGAGGAACAGGCAAGTTCCTCGGAGGTCAGAGGAAATTCTCTCTGACTTTGCAGTGGGGGGAGGCAGCCATTACGACCACCAGCAAGCTGGGGCAACCGGATTAAGCGATGTGCAGGAGTGGAGAATTGAGTGGAATATTGCTGCCGGGTGAGTGATATCTAACTCATAGGCAGAAAAGAAAAAAAAGGATTTTTACATAATTGTAAATGTTCTGGCATCAGAACAGCAGCTAATAGGCGTGGGAAAGGACAGAAGAAGAAAATTAAGGCGGAAGTTATAAAGTAACAGAACCCGACTAGAAATTTGTTTGTTTTGGATTTAAAATACTTGGAGAACTTTAAGAAAAAAAGAATTAGAAAAACCAAGAGCCCGAAAAAATTCTTTTTCAATTTTGAAAATTTAAAGGGAGTTAAAAAAAAAAAAAACCGAAGAAAAGCCTGTAATAGAAAGGACTGGTTAATGACTCTAAACTGAACTGTTAAAACGGACTGCAACCAAAATGGATGCCTTTTAAGCTCATAAATTGTAATTGTGGATTGTAGAGAGCCATCTTCAGGAGAAAAAAAATCATTATAACATCAAACTTTTGTTTTGGAAAAAGAAAAAGGAAAAAAAACTTTGGACTTTGAAAGAGATAACAGCATGTGAGAAATTTTAAGGAGATTTTGTTTGTTCACAAGCGTTGTGGCTTGGAGGAAAAAAAGAGGACTGTAACGTAACAATATCAATTTAGAAAGAACAAAATGGCGCAGGAACTGAAGGAAATGATAACGATGTACTTATCATTGAAAATGGAAATAAGGGAAATAATTACAATGTTGCATGGAAAATTGAAACTTGATGACCAAAAAATTGACTTAGGATACATTCAAACTGACAAAGAAACAACTAATGAGAAGCAAGGAAAAGAGACTGATAATAAAGAAGAAGACAAAGACAAGGAGATTGATTATGAAAAATTAAATTATTATATGGGTAGTAATAATAAAAAGGAGCTTTAAAAATTACATTGGGTTAAACAATGGAAAAAACAGAAAAAGAAAAAGGGGGAAAAACAAAAAAAAGAAAAGAGGATGGAATAGAAAGAATATAAGAAACTTAAATGATTACACTGGGATTATCAGTGAGAAAATAGGGAAAAGGGATGGAAAATAATGGGAAAGATACAGCAAAATAGAAGAGTTTATGATCTTAAAAAACAAAATGATTACACTGGGATTAACAGTGGGAAGATAAGAAAAAGGGAAAAGAGAGATCAGGATTCTAAAATACAAAAAAGAAGAAGGAAAGAAAAAGAAAGTAAAATAGAAAGAGAGAAAGAAATTGAAGGAGAATATGGGGTAAAGGAAATAAATACTAGGGAAAAATGAAATTGTATTTTTAATGAAGTGATTTTAAAATGATATGGATACATGAATTATTGGAATATTTTTAATTAATGAAGGATTGTAATAAATGAAATATCCTTAATTATATATTTGGTATTTAACTAAAGAAAAACAGAAAGCTGAAATAATATTGGATTATGAATTAATTGGATATGTTTAACTGTTTTCTATAAAAATAATATAAAAATCTTATAAAAATGTTATAAAAATATTGAAGTGTACTATTTGGAATAGTTGACAAAGAAAAAATTATTTTAGATTGGAACAAAAGAATTTAAGAAAATAATTGAGAACTGTATTATGTTATAAATTTAGGGATATTGGAGTAAGACTGATACTTAAATGATCTTTTATGGAATATGGTTAATTAATTAGTGAAATTATGATAACTGGATTAATGCTAAATAATGAATTACTTAAGTCAATACATAGGAATGAACTGTATTTTTAATGAAGTGAGTTTAAAATATATGGATGTATGATGAATGTAAAAATTGGAATATTTTTAACCAATGAAAGGTACTGTGACAAATGGAATATTCTTAATTATATAGTTGGAATTCAATTAAATAAGAAAAGAAAGTTGAAATGATATTGGATTATAAATTATCTAGATATATTTAATGGGTTTTTGATAAAAATGTTGAAGTGTACTACTTGGGACAGTTGATAAAGAAAAAACTATTTGAGATTGGAACAAGAGAATTTAAGAAAATAATTGGGAACTGTATTATATTATATGAATCTAAAAGTAGAGATATTGAAGTAAGATTGATACTTAATTGATTTCTTATTGAATATGTTTAATTGTTGAAATGTATTATTTGGAGTAGTTGATAAAAGAATTATTGGAGATTGGAATAAGAGAATTTAAGGTAATAATTGGGGATTGTATTATGTTATGTGAATTTAAATTTAGGGGTTCAAATTTTAAGGAGGGAAGAGGAAAAAGGGACTATATTAGGATGAGAAGTTAACATTTTATTTATTTATTTTTTTATTTATTTTAAATTTATATACCGCCCTTCTCCCTGAGGACTCAGGGCGGTGTACAGCCAGAATTAAAAAACATAAAATACAAATATTAAAAAACAATTAAAATATATATAAATTTGGCCCAAAATTAAAAATACAAACCAATTAAAACATTTAAAATTTCTCCTTAAGCCACCATTACGCAACATGAAGGGTAATATCGGTTTCTTAGAATTAGAGAGAATAAATGGTATGAGAAAAATTATATATAAAATTGTGTTAAATATGAACAAAAATCTGTATAAAAATTTAAAACCGGGCCAATATTCTGTTCAGAAAAGATGCATTGTATGTTTGTTTGTGTGTTTAAAAAATTTAAAAAAAATACTACCAAAAAAAGAAAGAAAGAAAGAAAGAAAGCCTTAACTAAGGCTTTCGGTGAGGGAGAGTAAGAGTCCTTGCTTCATTATGATCCAGTCTGTTGTCCTTGCTATTTTTTATGCTTCTTTTGATAAGTTTTAGTGTTTTTACTTTGATAGTTGGAGCCACTGAGAGTTGCTGGATGTCGGATTGCATACTAGTTTAATAAATTAAATTAAGCTATTACTTGCCTTTTATGGGCGGTGCAGTGGGTCAGTCATTAAGACGCTGGGCTTGTCGGCTGTAAAACCGACAGCCCAGGTTGAAGACCTGATCATTGCATGATGGGGTGAGTGTCCGTCTTCACCTAGCTTCTGCCCGCCTGGCAATTTGAAAGTATGCAAATGCGAGTAGATAAATAGGAACTACTTTAATGGGGAGGAAACAGTGCTCCATAAGGTCATGCTGGCCATATGATCCCCAAAACATCTTTGGACAGTGCTGGCTTATGGCCTCAAAACGGGGATGAGCATTGCCCCCTATAGTAGGCAACAACTAGCGGAGTAAAATCTGCAGGAACTCCCTTTCCTTTCTTTGTCTTTTATGCAGCCTCTCCCCTCCCCAATCTTTCTGAATTTATTTTCATATAAATGAATAAACAAACAAGCAAACCATACTATTCTTAAGAATGTTCAACAAGTTTGCTATACCCTTCAAGAAATTAAGCATTTCTTTCATATTAACTCTTACTTCCTGACTAACCTAATTGATTTCTGGAAAATGTTCAATTAATTTCTTGATGGATTTTTAAATTTTCTAAATTTTTGTTATAAGGCATATTTTTAATTACTGTTGTTTAATCTTTTTGTCCTATCTTAGAACAAAATGCGCCACCTGCTGGAGATTCTAAAAGTAGACTTAGGTTGCAACAGGGAGGAAAATTCTGCAGGAGTGTCCGATGCATATAGGCATTTACAGAATGAATCAGCAGAGCACCTTCAACTTACCAGTATATCCCAGAGCAAAGTGTCAGAAAGCGAAGAGCTGTTAAATGCAGTGGATTTAATAACAAGTGACCTCACTGTACATGATGATGAATTCCAGAGAGTGGAAGACCAGGATGCAATTTCTCAGGATATCAAGGAATTACTGAACATTGAGCTGAATCCCCTGTCCATGAAAACTGATGAAACTCCAGATAACACATGTCCATTGCCACCAACATGCAATTCAACCACATGTAATGCTGACTTTGAAACAAGCGAATATTTGAGAGAAGTTGATGAACTGAAAGAAAACATGACGGAACCCATCTCTTTGGTCAGGGCCCAGGAGTAAACAACTAGCAGCAAAGCACCAAACGGGGCAGTTCATCTAGTCAACAGTGCAGAGATCTGAACTTTGAAAATTAAATAAAATGCTAGCAAATCAGACTTTTAATATTTTTTATTTGGATGCTACCGCAAATGGGCTTGAAATTTTAGAAGTCAGACTTTTTTGAACTGGGCACTGGAACATTGTAAGAAACAATAGACAAAATTGTCATGTGTAATGTTATTAATTGCAGAAAAGACTAGGCATGTAGTTTGAGGCATAATGTTTATTTTCAAGACTATATTTATCAAAATACATTTATAATAAATGAATATAAAATTTGCAGGAGTAAAAACTGTAAAAAATTATGCCTACCCTTCTGAATTCTTTTCCAAATAGTTACACACCCAGATTGAATCATTATTTATATCTGTGCAGACATCTGGTGCAGCTTGCTGTTTACTGAACCAGGATTGTTTTGTCTGATTTTAATGGAGAAGCATCCTCTGCAATGCAGTATTCAGATGAAGGATTCATCCATTTATCTTTTAAAGCATGGATCAGTTGACAGGGCCTCTGACTTACTAACAATGGATGATCACACAGTCATAGTGTTAACTAGTTGTCTGATGTCTTTTTCTTGCAGTTGGAAGGATAAAATGAATTAACTGCTGTTTGCATGATCATATTAGTTCTATATCAGGGATGGTTAATACACTGATCACTCAAGCCTTTTAGACAATAGTCCAAATGCAAGCAGTGTGTTTCATTGCGTAATTGGTAACCCTCTCCAAGTAGACTCCATAATAAAGTTCCCATTACACAAAATGGGGCGTGAAGACCTTGAGAACGCCAGTTGTTAGATTTTAATTTCCAGTCACTCTTAAGTATCAGGAAGGGAGAGAGCACAACCAGACAAAGCAGAATCACACAAGTGTACCTATGTACATGCATGCAACACTATGATATATAAATAAAAGGAACGGGGTTTCTATTACAATAGTGCAATGCTTTCAATAGGCTAATCAATTTGATACTTCCCTATGGATGCTGCTGTATGACATCATGGGTGGTAATGGGTCTATTTGAAGGTGGGCTGCAAAGAGTTTGTTCCTGCTTCTCTTGGGTCTTGTGGCAAAGAACCGTCAGCAACTATTTTTTGTCTAGAAAGCATCCAGTAATGACACACAGTACTGCTCTAGTACCCTTTGTTGAACGAATTATGAAAATAGTATCCACCTGGGAGTCCAGGACTCCCAGTTTGGGAACTATACCACAAAGCGGCCAACTTAGTATGGCTACGAGAGTGGCCTTATTAAGAGATAAGAGAATTTTACAACTGGAAGGGCACGACCTATTGAGAGGCTGGCATGCCTACCTCTGGGACAAAGGAAAAGGGACAGGGATATGTTTCCACCAACATAAAATTAGAGATACATTAATGAAGACATGGAAAGAAATCAGGCATAAACATTATTTAAAATACCCAAAATGGATATCCACAATGGAGGCACTGACCCATTCAAATACGTTAGGTAGGGAGAAAATGGTCACCTATCAAGATATCTTGGATAACAGTGGTAACCTTATACCCAATGAGATATTAAAAGAGCAAGGGATCCATATAGATTGGTGGCCGTATTTACAAATTAAATCCCGATATAGTAGAGATAAACAAGAAAAGGGAATAGAGATGGGGACAAATCGTTTGGATAAGGTATGGCTAGGTAGTGAGAACAAACTATTAGCCAAATTATACTCCTACCTGCTCGAATACAACAGAGAAGGAGAAATATTAAAAGATCAAATGATCGCTTGGGGGGAAAACATCAAATCAAAGATAAATCTTGATGAATGGGAAGAAATATGGAATAGCAATCTTAAACTGACGAGAGCAACAAGCTATAAGGAGAATCAGTATAAGATGCTATATAGATGGTACTTAGCACCATCTAGAATTGCTAAGATCTACCCAAATGCAAGCCCCAAGTGTTGGAAATGCGGTCACCACCAAGGTACCTTCTATCACATGTGGTGGACGTGTCCGGAAGCAAGGAAGTTTTGGAAAAAAATACAAAAATAGATCCAAGAAATATTAAAGGAGGATATTAACTTCCTCCCGGAAATCTATCTCCTGGGAGTGCTAAAACGAACATTTGGAAAGGACAAGAAATATTTGATTATTCATATTGTCACAGCTGCTAGACTCTCCTATGCCAGATATTGGAAAGAGAAAAAAGGACCAACCGAGGAACAGATAGTCAATAAGATACTTGACTGCGCAGAAATGTGCAGATTAACGTATGTGTTAAACGGAAAGGAGGATTCAGAATTCTATACGATTTGGGATCTGTGGTATAGGTGGTTAGAAATTAAATGCAAAAGTTAATACTCATATGGAATAACGCACAACGATTAGTTAACCCTATATATTATTGTACCCTAATTAAACAGTAATCAATTTTATACATAAGAATTTTTGTACAAACTATAATTAATTAGATAATTGATTAGATACCGCACTTGTAAATATACAATATGACTACATGTTGCTGAACCGTATAGTTTGAATTGTAATATATTCTTAATTCAATAAAAATTCATTTAAAAAAAAAAAAGAAAATAGTGTCCACCTACTGATAGCACAAGAAAATAGTTGCTTACCCTCTTTTCAGTCAAAAGCTTTATAGATTTTTTAAAATGTAGTTGTCCAGAGACTGATAAGCAAATGGAAATGATTGAAAAGCAAATGGAAATGATAAAACAGAAAATGGTAATATGATTTTCTAAAGTTGGTAGATTTCTTACCCAAACTAGCTTAAATGGAAACTTTAGAAAAGAAATACACTGAAACTTGTCTCTTGGCAAAGGAGCTTAAATGGCCTGTCTTTTCTCTTACATCTTCTGCAGCTGGATGGAATGGGCATAGCTAGCTGATTTTGGGTGAAAAGAGGTTGAGTGAAGGGTAAGAAAATAATGCAACCATATTGAACCCAGCTGGCATTTATGTCAGACTCAGACATGTGAATGTGCTGAGCTGACAAAATTTAATTCTGTAAATCTTATATTTAGAAATCTGCTTTCTGTTTGGATAGCAGCTGTTTTCTCAAATGAACTTTGAAGTGCTAAATTTACTGTAGGAACATATACTCACTTTAGAACTACTAATTCTTTCTTGAATTAGATTTTCTTGAATTAGATTCTTGACGAATGTATCTTCTTTTATGTATACTGAGACCGTATGCACCAAGACAAATTCCTTGTGTGTCCAATCACACTTGGCCAATAAAGAATTCTATTCTATACTAATAATTGCCTCAACAGAAGGACTCCAAAAATAGTCATTAACAAATAATCATCTCAATTGAAAAAATCCCAAAATAATAGTCATTAACAAGCTGTTTGGCATCCCCCCCCCCCCTTTTAAAAGAAAAACTTTCCCGGTTGCTTAGTTCATTAAATGCAGATACTTTGAAAATATATAGCACTCTAAATAATACCAGGATGCTATGTTAAAGATGAAAGGTGTTGGTTTAAATTTGGTGTTTGCCACTCAAAGGGGCAAGTAATTTGGGATCTGCAATTTATTAAAAAATGGAAGTGTTGGGGTGCTTTAAGTTATAAATTGGTTTGCTGAGAAGAAACCTCTTCCCTGAATAATTCAGAAATGTTTTGCAGCTGTGCCTTTCATCCTACAAGGCTTACATTCTTATGACTCTTCCTATCTCAAATGAGGGGAAAACTGCATCATCTCAGACCCAGGGAGGGAGGGAAGAGTAAAATTTTAATAAGGAATTAAATGAGACAAACAAAACGTGCTTAGAAATCATTATCCTGTCCAGTCAAGAATATTTTGAAAATCCCTCTATCTATTTGGGAAAGCTTTCTATTAGAAAGCTTTAAAACGAACAATTGGGAGCAGTAGATGCTCTCATCACAAACATGCTCCAAACTCTATCCACTTATTTAAATGGTTCTGCTTATTTGCCATTGCTAAAAATAAAAAATAAATGAGTGTGCTTGTGGATCAGAATTTGCCCTGTAAGGTAAGCAAATTCTCTGGTGACAATCTATCAGCCGCCCTCCAATCCTCAAGATGTTATTGCAGGGCAAAGAACTTAGATTAGCCCAACATTTCTCACTTGGTTGGCTATGTGTAGATGGATTTTGAATAATTAAACTCTCGGTGTTTACCAATCCTGACTAAAGCAGGGCCATCAATTGAGAGATTTCAAACAGGTTTGGCGGTATTTTCATATTCTGCCTAGATCAGCGCTGTCAAACTCTCGGCCCATGGGCCAGATGCATCATGCGCTGGTCACATCCACACCCAGTTTAGCAAAGGGGGAAAAAGTTGCAATATGTCACATGACGCCGCCGTGACAATGCGAGTTTGACACCCGTGGCCTAGATTGTCTTCAGGACATGATGCTTTATTGAGTCTCCTGATGACTTGTAATTTGTTTTTTAGCATATTATAAGGGTTGGTGGATACCTTGAAGATCTAGTCCAGGTGTGTCACATTTGGCCCTGGACAGCTAGTATGCAACCGCATAAGACCCTCCACCCCAAATAATGGATGTTTGTTATGCATTATCTATATTATATATTTTATATGCCATTCAAGGCAATTCCTTTTCACTCAATGCAGCTCAGGCAAGCCAAAAGGTTGGACATGTCTGATGTAGTCTAATCTGCTCAGTACAGAAATCTATTACCAGCAGGTTATCTATTACAACATCCAGCAGGAGTACCTTCTGAGGTACTCTATTCCATTGCTAAATCATTACCATTTGGAAATTTTTCCTGATGTCCAGCATTCTCCCTTTCCTTTCTTTTTCAGTCTAAACATACCCAGTGCCTTTAATAGTTTGCCACATGTTTTCTTCCGGGACATATTCCAGTTTGTCAGTTTCTTCCCAATGTAGTGTCAAGCACTGTATACAATTTTCTAATACTTATTTAACTGCTTGTATCACATGTTTTTCTCTTGGAAGCTCAAAGCAATTTATGTGAGTCCTCTTCTTTCAAAATAATTCTTGCACGACAACCTTGTGACAAAGAAGCAACAAAAAAAGTGGGCACCCTATTGAGCTTCACAGTTCAGTGGGGCCTTGAA